AAAATTGTCGAACCTTCGATTGCAAAAATTTGGCACTAGACTAAAAAAGGCTCGTCACTCCTAGACTATGTATAATATTTTATAACATCGCAATCGTCGTCGTATTATTATTACCCATTCATCCACAGACCCCGACGAGACGCGAAATGTGCCACACAAAACGTTGGAATATTATTATTATTTGTTATATTATTCACGTTTTAATTTTTTTTGCCTCATACTAATGCAATCCGCCGAGTACCGATGTACATAATACGTGCATAACATGTGAACTATTACACATCATCATATTATATAATGGACTGTTTTTTTTCTATTATCTGTACTTATATTTTCTATTGCCCTTTAAAATCATATCGAATTAATTGTTATCGTATCCTCTCGTTACGTGCGTGCGTACGTTTCGTTTTAATTTTTCAATGTCACTGTAAATATTATAATCATGTAATTATTAATATAATAAACTTATCCTCACCCACGTCTTACATAATTACGCTCGAGGACGGTTGAAAACCGTTAAAACCGTACGCTACGCGCACGCACGCAGCCACCAGCTGCGTATATTATGTTTTTTTTTAAAACTCGAGTGCAACTACGGATGACGTTTGTGCCAAATTTCGTTTTCATCGAATGGCGAAGAAAACAACAGCAGTAATAATAATAATAATACTTATAATATCCAATCAAGTACAAATAAATTTAACGCATTTATATATGTCTATTATTTTGTCGATTTTACCATAGTCTAAGAGACTGAGGTCTGAGACACGTTAGCCCATTGACTGCAATATTTTAAATTAAATAAAAAAAAATCACTATTGAATTAGTAGCTACTAAAAACAGATCATTCGTTAACATAATTCTTCAATGGGTGGTTTTTTTTTTAATCGATTTATTTTAGAGAGGTTCTCAAATTCTGTTTAAAACGATCTTCCATTAGTGGTATGAAATTATAATCGTTAGGGAATGATATTTAAAAAGCTTAAGCCGACTCTTGACTTGCCGGGTTAAAACTATATGTTTAGTGAGAATTATAAACGGCACATACTATATAGTTGATATTGTGTACTTATGAAAAATATTATAATAATAATAATTTTTTGTATTACAGCTTAGAACTTTAGGGTTTAATTAACATAACCACCGAGTTTTCACGTTTATTTTACAAGGACCCTCATAAATAAACTTCACTGCATTATCACCGAGCAAAATATAATTTGTATTCTATATTTCTATTA